TCCAACAGCAGGCGAAAATGTTCGTCCTGACTGTAGCACTCCTTTAAATAGGAGCCCATTGAGCTCGTCACATGGTAGGCTTTCATGGCTGCCAATGTTGACGACTCAACTTGTGCTTTCGCACGAGACACACTGTCCTGGTGTCTTGTATCGAAGTCTGGTCTGCGCAACAACAACGCGTCAGCCAAGACATTCGACTTACCCGGCTTGTATTCAACTTCAAAATTAAATTTAGAGAAGAATGTTAACCATCTCGCCATTCTCGGCGAGAGGTGCGGTGAATTTATAGCGGTCCGCAGTGATGCGTGATCCTTATAAACCACAAAAGGCTCGGTTCCCAAGAGGTGCACCCGAAACTTTCCAAGGGAATACTTAATTGAAAGTAGCTCCTTGTCATGCACAGGGTAATTCAGCTCTGCCGCTTTCAAAAGCCAAAACTGATACGAAATGACACGTCTAACGCCGCTGCCATCCTTCTGCATGAGCGCGCTGCCGATTGCAAAAATTCTTGCATCGCAGACGACGCTAAAGGGCTTATCCGCGTCTGGCAATGCGAAGACCGGTGCCTCTACAAGAGATTGCTTCACTGATGTGAACGCATCTTCTTGTTCCTTTGACCAATTCCATTCTGTATTTTTTTTCAAAAGGCCAGACAACGGCTTAGTCTGATCGCATAATTCTTGCTGTACTTATGCAAGTAGTTAGCGAGCCCAAGAAATTGGCGCAGATTCTTCACGTGTCGTGGGACTGGCCATTCCTTTACAGCCTTTACCTTTTCGGGGTCTGTTCGTACACCATGTTTACACACTATGCAGCCCAGCACACATTGGCTCGCTTGTCGAAGAACTCATCGATGTAATCTACTTGTTCCTTCGGCAACGGCCATTGCCTTTTCACGCAATACGTGATGCCAGGCTCCAGATCAATCTCGGTCCTGATGCCCCTATCGGCCGGTTGGCGGCTCGGCACTTTTGCTGGAAACACATCACGGTGTTTCCACAGAACATATAGAACGGGATGCTTTCGAGGCATCCCAGCTTTAAGCAGCAAATCGTTTTATTGTTGTCGGTCTCCAAGACGCTCTCATCCATTGTGGATAAAGAGCAACAGTCCACCACGTTCTCTTCTGGAACTGGTGCGACTATCTCGTGGATCTTTTCTTCCTTTAATTCGGACAGGAACAGATCCCACGTCAGAGTTACTATCTCCTCGGCAGATGCCAAGACAAGTTGGAGCACCTCAATTAAGAATGCCTCCGGCATCTTGTCTTCGACGACCTCAAACAACTCGCTCGTATGTCCGTCCTCTTGGACCGAGACTGATCCAAGGGTCACTCGTTTCGACGTGCCCTTGATCGTCTTAATACGTCTGGTGCTCGTTCTTCGAGTCACCACGACCTTTGAACTGGAAGAAGGTGTCGTTTCTGTAAAACCCAACACACTCCTTCAGACGCACCGGACTCATTGCTCTGTGCCGGTTGTTGTGGCGCTTGACTTCCTGTCAGACCACCATCAACTGCCACAGGCTCTTGGCTCTGTGCAGGACTATTGGACGCATGACTACCCCATTCACTACACCAGTCTTTTCGACCTGGGTAGGAATATGTGTCACCTGGCTTTCCGCTAGTGCAATTCCAACTACACCAATCTTTTCGAGCTGGGTAGCTCCTGGTGTCGATTGACATACCGTCATCGCACCCTCGACTGTGTTGGACACAGCATCAGCCACACAAGCATCTCGCAAGAGCACATCCTTTCCGGTGTCTTGCGTAGAGCTAGCGACTCTGCGTGTACGCCAGTCTATCCATGGTTAGTGTTTAGCCAACCAAGTCATGCCTAGGATGAGTTCATACGGACTCTCCATACGTAGCACTGTGACTTCTCTTTACAAGAGAAGTCGCTGAAACTGAAGGCGAGTTCAACTTGAACTCCCTCCGATTTAACGAGCGCGCCGTTCGCTAAACGAACGATCGCCTCTTCTCGCTTGCCATCCTGGCAAAGCGACTCATAACTCGCCGGTCTCCTTTTCATAGCCGCGAGTTTCACAAAGTTTTGTGATGCACCCGAATCCACGAGAAGGGTCATCACTTGGTCATAGCCTCGTACTCGAGCGCTATAGACCAAAAGGGTTGAGGTCCGACCTTTCGGAACCTCAGGGACTATGCTACTCAATTGTTCGATAACCCGGAACATAGGGGTAGCTTCAGCGTCCGCGACAGTAGGGCATCCCGCCCCTACTGCGCTCTCACAATTCCCGACCCATCTTTGGCAGGTTCTGAACCCGTGCGTCGTGCAAGCTGGTTTTTAGCACCTCCCTTCGGGTTGGGAGACCTTTTGCTGGCTGCCTTAGCACCAGCAGCAAGCTTGGCATAGCATAGAGCCATCATATGGCCGCGTTTCCCGCACTTGTAGCAGACCACGTCTGCATTTTCTAACTCCATTGGAGTGGCATCCGACCTCTCGGCCGACGGCTTATAATAGGCTGTCGCCGAAGCGCTGTTTTAGAATTGCTCTTCATCTAAGGCAATGTCAATTGCCTCTTCCATCGTCGCTGTCACCTTTCTGAAAAAAGGCCTGACGCAATGGGCCGTGCCTAAGTCCATTCATGAACTTGGCCACCTTGATACGTTCTGGTATCGGTTCCCCATTGATGGACGCCGACAGCGAACGCATCTCCTGCACAAATTCTTGCAGAGAGCGTTTCGCCTGTCGTGTTCCAAAGAAGTGCGCCATAAGCAACACTTCGTTGTTAGGCGGATGAGACATGGCGCTAATCTTTGTTTTAAAGATCGTCCATTATGGAAATGCATCAGCATTTGCCATCAGCGCAGAGTAAGCCCACTGTGACGCTTTTCCACGCAAATTGCACATGGCATACGACACCATCCTGGTGTCGTCTTCGATGAGCTGCGCCATACGCTAAAAGTCAGTGGACAATCGTATTTGCGGCAGTCCCATCAAACTTCGGAGGGTCCATCCTAATGGGTCTTGGCTGATTAGACCGGGCAGAGAGCGTCTCAATAGTTCTGTTGAGCGCCTCATTCCGAGCTTGCTCACGCAAAAGCTTATCCTGAGTCTTACTAATGGACTCAGTCGCTGCTTGGCTGTTTGCCTCGGATGCATTTCTACGCTGTCCGAGCACAAACACCTCGAATTGCTCCAACTGAGCCAACTCCCTATGGTGTTGAGAGAGGTGCGGAAAGTCGCCCTAATCCATATTGTACATCCGTTTCCACACGCACGCTCACAGAGACGGGTCGTGGAAAGGACTACTAGTGCTACCAAGTGTAGACGGGCACTTCGAAAGAAGCTTCCACGTGCTATGAGCACACACCTTCGAGCAGCGTGAGGAAGCGGATACATCGTCTTACCTCCGCGTGCGGTGGTCGTGTTGGTCGTGTCGGTCGGCGCCGAAGCGTTGTATCAAGCGTTGTGGTTGCCTAAACGAACCGTGCAACGAACTTCTAAAACAAGTGCTTCACTTACGACACGCAGAAGCTTATTCAGATTCTCTTGCGCTGTGAGTGTGATGTAGTAAACTCAAGACTGACCTATGTTTAATAGAAACAATTAAATATAACTCTTACTACTGCCTGGTTAATATGTAATGATCGGAAGTATCCCTACGATATTCAAGCTTGCTGATGACGTCCGTCTGTGACTCTATCATTACGCCCAGTCCCAACTAGCGCCATCCCTTCCCATGTGAATTCATCAATGGATATCACATTCACAAGGGTGGGTCACATTGATGTGCCTTACTCAAGTGAGACGTCTAAGGTACCATGTACTCTATTCGACTTCCCTATTGAGTATCACATACGAACAGATTCGTGTAACTATTGGCCCGTTATTGAAATATGCAGGATTGTATACAGAGTTCTTGGCGAAGTTGTAACAGGGCATCTAGTTACACGTAAACATTAAGTAATATACTTAATGTTTGGTCTAAAAGTATCCATGATTACTTTTGACCTGTCATATCCGCCCTCGTGAATGTGATATCCATTTATGGATTCACATGAGAAGGGATGACGCTAGTTGAAGCTAGGCATCGCGACGTCTCAGAAAGACGTCAGTTGCGATCTTAAATCTAGATTTAAGTTCATGCGACAGGATACGCTTCTAAAGAGTCGCGTATCCGATCTATATACATATATAGCCAATCAGTAATTAAGTATATATTTAGTTATAATTGATTAAATATAGCTCGGTCTTGAAGTTGCTACATCAAAAGCACCACACACGAGAAGCTCTAAAAAGCTTCTACGTGACTTCGGTCTCTTGTCTTAGAAGTTCGTTGCACTCTCGCTTAAGCGAGAGGCAACTGGTGGTACGACTGCTTAAGCAGTCGACCAACCTCCTAACCACCCTCGCACGCGAAGGTAAGACGGTATAACCGCTTCCTCGCTTGTGCATAAGGTGTGTGCTAGTAGTACGAGGCAACTTCGTAGAAGTGCCCGTCTACAGAAGTAGTCTTTGAAATCCGCTCTGCCCCCGACTCATGATCGCGTTTAAGGTTGGCAGCAAGGCCAGGAAGCGATCACATATGCTTAAGGCACTCTTCACTCTCACTAGAGGCGTTTATACCCATATACGCCACTTCAACTTCATCATCAGAAGCGTTCTGCTGACTTACTTTATCAAATCATCGGCGAAATCCTTTCATTACACAATAGCTGCACGATATCACTGCCGTTGCGGTGAGGTAAATTTTAAAGTTCATCCTACTTTAGTCCGTGGCGCAGGAATATAGGATAATCTAACTCCGCGCGTTGGAGATGCTCTAAGTATGTCATAATTAACAATTACGCGTAACATAAGGGCATAATTAGCCTGTTACACTAGGAAAAAATGCTAGGGTTGAGTGACCTGTCACTATCCAGAGATCAACTATGGTATTACCGTGAAAGCCACTTGTTATTTTGTCCTTTTCTGTCCCCATCCAAGATATTGGGGGAGAAGTCAAGGCAATAATACAATTAAAAGACTCAAGACATTATGTTCCAGACCAAGTACGTTGCTGATGTAGCTATATTTCATGCCGCTTACTACCTATTTACTCTCTCTATGATCATCTCCTCCATAAAGTACCGAGTATGATCGCGGTGTGAACACGTTCTCGCCTGAGGGGCGTCTTTTTCAAGTGGAGTACGCTATTGAAGCCATTAAGGTCTGTCTAAGAACTCTATTAATTTAGTATTCATGATTTTCTGATGACTGTGCTTCTTACTTATGGTCAATATGTAGATGGGTACTACAGCTATCGGCATTCGTACTAAGGAAGGCGTCGTGCTCGCCGTGGAGAAACGATTGACGTCACCATTACTGGAGCCTGGCAGGTTAGTGACTTGGTATGGCTTGATATGGGTACATTAAAAACAAAGTAGCCTAACGGTAGCTTGTTGTTATTCTTTATGGACAGCATTGAAAAGATTATGGAAGTTGACCGTCACGTCGGTGCCGCCATGAGTGGCATCACTGCCGATGCACAGACGTTGATTGACCACGCAAGAGTTGAGGCCACTAATCACTGGTTCTCATACAATGAGCCTGTACGTGTGCAGGCTTTAACGCAGTCTATCTGTGACTTGGCATTGAGCTTTGGTGAGGGCTCGGACGAAAACAACCATAAGCAGAAGATGAGTCGTCCATTCGGCGTGGCATTGCTGCTTGCTGGTGTGGATGAGACTGGCCCGCAGCTCTTTTTCTCAGAGCCATCAGGCACGTACTGGCCCGTGAAGGCTCATGCTATCGGTTCTGGATCGGAAGGTGCTCTTAACAACCTGAAGGATGGCTACACGGACGAGCTAACGTTGCAAGAGGCCGAGAACCTCGCTATTGGTGCTCTCAAGCAGCACATGGAAGAGAAACTAACAAGCATTAACGTCGAACTAGCCATTGTTACGCGCGAAAAGGGCTTCCACGTCTGCACTACTGAAGAACTAGAGGTCGTGATCGGTCGCCTGTAGACGAGCGTATGCGAAGAGAGGCTGTGGAAGTTGGGTAATACTTGAAGCGCATCGCGTATTCAACGCTATATCAGTATCTAATTCCGGAATGAACGCCGACAGCGGACCTCGTTTGCATCCTTTGATGGTGTTTCTGTCTGCTTCCGGTGGTGCTACCACGTATTGTGTTACTTGTATGTGGAATATGCCACCCTCCACCGCTTTATAAAATCTTGCGCTGCTGATACTGCGAGCATGACAATTAATAAGAAGTTACAAGCATGCTCCTACTCTTGATAAGAATGCTCATTGTCAATGCGAAAGCACCTTTGATTTGCGCTCCGGTATTCGGTTGCGAATTCTGCTGACGATGTTTGCGTTTCTGTCCGTTTACATTCAAAGTTGTCGATCTCATTTAGCGCGCTAAACCTGCCTATTATCTTTACTCAAGCACGAACCAATTCCTTTTCATCATCAATGGAGTCGGAGTGCTCGCTGACGGACCTGCTGCTGCCTATTGCGCTGTGGCCTGCACTGAAGCTGTGGAGTTTCGAAATGATCATGTCGAGAGCCACCGAGTTGACACCGTGCGGAATAATAATGTCCGCCACGCGCTTCGATTGCTCCACAAACATCATATGCATGGGGCGCACCGTCTTCATGTACTGATCCATAACCGACTCGGCCGTGCGACCGCGTTCCTCCATGTCGCGGTGCATACGTCGCACAAGACGAATGTCCGCGGCTGTCTCGACAAAAATCTTAATGTCCATGAGGTCGGCAAGCGCCTGGTCGGCAAAGATTAGAATGCCTTCTACGAGGATAACACTATTGGGTTTCATGGAAGTTGTACATTTGCAGCGTGAATGCGTACTAAAGTCATAGATGGGCACATCCACGGTCATGCCGGCGCGCAGCTGTCTCAAATGTTTGACCATAAGATCCGTCTCGAGGGCGTCAGGGTGGTCAAAATTGTGTTTAGCCCGTTGTTCCATTGTGAGGTGAGCTAAGTCCTTGTAATAGTAGTCGTGTGAGAGATATGACACACGATCGACACCAAACTCAGTCATGATGGCGCGTGAGAGCGTGGTTTTGCCCGATCCAGAGCCGCCGCACACGCCGACAACAAGGATCTGATTACCCTCTTCATTCAGCAACTGGTTGGAACCTCCGTGACGGAATTTGGTGCCGGGCTCAGTCGACTTGTTGATGTACACAATGTCCTTGACCAGCTCCAATTCGCTCTTAGTGGTCACGAGCGGCTGCTGCAGCGTAAACTTCTGACGCTTGCGGCGCTCTGAGCGCATATGTGTGGCCAGGATGGCCGTCACTAGTCCCACGCTTAGCACCGTCACTTCAAAGGTGTTTGTCTTCATGATTATGCGTGGAATAGTCGAAAAGGGAGAAGAGCCGCAGTAGGTGGAGCCGTTGTCTATAGAGATGTCGAAAAACTAAACATTCAGCTGAGCCCATGCGTTTTCACCAATCAAGCGACAGAAATACGACTGGACGATCACCATTACTAGGGCAGAACGTGTAAAAAGTATCAAGAGTAGAAAGTGATGGCAAGTCAAAGATGATTAGCTCCTTTAAGTGACACAAGCAATGGATGAATAAAGCATTTGCCTTACATTTCGCTGATAGCGTCCTTGCTGTTAAATCGCCTATCCATCTGTGCGCACTCATTGGCTACCTGCGACGGAGTCAATAAGAATCGGGTAGCCCGAGTCTAACGAGATGTTCGGGTCACGTACGGCTTGGCAGATGGACGGGATATCCGTCTGTAGATCAAGGAACTCTGCCAAAAAGACGAGCAGTTGGAAGTCGCTGATGCGTTTGGCATACGGCTCGTTGCGGTACTTCTGCAACTGAGACTTGAGTACCGCACGGGTACGGTACGAGCCTTCTCTGTTGAGCTTGGGAAACTCGCAACGCAGCGAAGATTTGTGCGGTACCACGGGCACCACGCACAGAAAAAAGTTATTGTCTACCTCAGTCGCCGGCTTGGCTTCCACAAGAGCTGTAAAGGTGTCACTGACTGTACATGCCTTCGAGTTTTGTTCGCTCTCCAGCAGTGCACCAGCTGCGAACATTTCGACGCACTGGTCGCTGACCTGGAAAGCCTCAAACGACGCCTGACCTTCTTTATCCAACGTTACCTTTAGTGTGAGAAAGAGCGAGCTTTTGCTGCCTGCATCAGCCTGAAGCTGTGCTGCCAGTAAAATCTCGCGCGCAGAGAAGTGGAAGTCGTTGTCTTCACGTGGAGGATGCGAGAAGACCCAGCCGACTTTTTCACAGCCGAGCGCTTCTGCTACAGCGTCCACTTTGTCTACATTCGTGTCATCTAGCACTTCAAAGCCATATGGATTACCTTCTTGTGGTGGTTCATAGATAAAATCCACCGTCACTTCCTTAGTCTCGACATCCACTGAGCCGTAAAGCCAGCCACAGCGTGACTGCTGGAAAGCAAATTGACGCAGGTAAGCTTGGAAATCATTGCAGCTTGCACCGTCCAGATGTACTTTAGCTACGTGTGGTTCTTTCTGTGCACTGATCTTGAATTCGAACTGGGCGTCCATGCGCATGAACTCGCCTAATGTCCAGTGCATCTTCATGTCACGCAGTGACTTCATTCCCGGACGAAACGACTGCTTGTCAGCGCGATCATTGTACGCCACGTGCGTGAGTGTACCATCTGATTTGATCTTGGTTCCTATGACGCCTCCAGTGCTCACTGAATCACCATCGTAATCTAGGAATAACATATCACCGTGGCCTACGCGAAGTTCACGTAGAGTCTGTGTATCTGTGGTCTTCTGCATGCTCTGTAGATCCAATGTCAAGTGCTGCTGCTGTGGAGAAATAGAGTGTTGCTCAAAAATCCATCGCTTAATATCTGCGATGGTAGAAGAAGGGGTCAGGTCTTCCACGCGCCATGTGCCATTTTTGGAGCGCACGCGGACGAGCATTTTGACTTTGTCTTACGAGTTGTATCGAAAAAGATAAGAAATATATCTCGAGCAAAAAATCGTACATAGTCGAACATTGGTGTGATTGAAGTCGTGTTTCAAATACAGAGGCCCTGCTGTTGCCCGAAGGTGGTCGCACAGGGGCAAAGCCCAGCGGAGCAGTCTTGGCGAATGAAACTGAGTAGCGCCCACGAATTAGGAACTAATCTAACAGTCTAGTCTATCAAGTCGATGTACATCGACAAAGGTGGTTCATCGCCGATCATGGACCAAAAAGTCTTCAAAGCCGACTCCGATCTGCAATATCCATCCACCTTTAGTCAACGTCTAGTCCGCTAAGATCGTCTTGATGTTGTCGCGTTTCTCGCTGGGGGTACTGTATTGCTTCCACGCCTCCTTCTGCGAGTGCGCCGTAATATGATGCTCCAGAACCTGCATCATCATCTCCTTATCAAACACTGACGTTGACGAGCCGTATGCCGAGGCCTGGAAAGCAATCACGAGCTTCGACAGCTCACGACCAGAGAAACCCTCGATGCGGGCGGCCAAGTCCTCGAAATCCGACTCCTCGATGTCCTCCACGTAAATCTTCTTGGCACGCGAGTTCTTGGGAGCCCGGATGTAGTCATCAAAGTACTGCTTCAGCATGCGTACGCGCTCGTCATAGCCAGGCAAGCGGAATTCCACCATCTCATCGATACGATCATTAATGGCCCAGTCAAACTGTTCTGGCTGGTTGCTGGCGAACACAATCATGAACTTGTCGCTGGCCTCACCTGTGCGGTACAGAAAGGCATTTAATGCGTTGCGCATATCCTCACTCATGACAGTGTTGCTACGCTTCTGCAGGAATGCATCAGCTTCATCAACAAACAACAGCAGACCGCGACGGCTGTGCGAAGCCCAGTCGAACAACTTGTGGATCTCTGTCACACCCTCGCGACCAAGTGGGGCAACATCACCACCCGTAAGGATGGCATACTCTAAGCCGGAGTGACGTGCCAGAGCCTTGGCGAACAGCGTCTTACCCGTACCGGGTGGGCCGTGTAGCAGCAAGTGGCGAAACGGCGCGCGATTTTTTTTCGTGTTAAACGTCGACACAGCGACACTACGCAGACGCTCGTCCAGCTTAGGCTCAAGCACGACACCCTCCAGCGCATCTGTCGCCTTCTGCAGACGCAGCACACGCTTAATGGATGGAATGGGATTGGCGATTACCTGAGCAGCCGAGCGACGCGAAGTCTCTCGAACCAGCGACGGCTTGCCCATTCGAGCTTCAATGTACTTACCTGCAACGCTAGTAGAAACCTTGGCGGTATAAATACCAACAGCCAGAGCCGTCAAAGAGACCACAGTGGCCGTGAGTTTTTCCTTATCGTCCACAAAAGCCATGACACCGGAACCAATAGTGTTACCCGCCAGCTTGATACCTTCCATGACCGTCTCGCGATATTCCTTGGCACGCACACGGGCTTCTTCTAAATGCAGATCGTGATTGAGACGTTCCTGTTTAATGCGCCCTTCAGTCTCAGCTGCCACTCGTGCAAGCTCTGTTTTCTGACGCAGCTCGGCCTCATAGTCGAGCGTTTTGCGACGCGAAGCTTCTTGACGGGCGAGGATCTCCTCCTGTTTTTTTAACTCCTGTTCCTTCATGTACTTCTGAGCAGCCAACTGATCTGCATACTGTTTACGCTTAAGCTGATCTTGGTATTGCGCACGCTGTTGGTGCTGGCGCGTCTCCTCCTCGAGCGTCTTACGGCGCTCCTCGCCCTCCTTTTGCACGCGCACGATCTCGTACTGCTTATAGAGAGCCTCGTTTTCCTTAATTTTAGACTGGTTTTCAAACTGTTTGGTGCGTTCAGCCTCCTTGGCCAGATTAAACGCTTCTTTCGCGTGACGCGAGTTCTCCAGCTCGCGAGCGGCTTTAGCGGCACGCTCCAAACCCGATGGGTCGAACGAGTAGCCATTGCCGGCACCACTGTCATTGCTTTTAGGCTGTGGAAGCGTATTCTGCGCTGGTTCTGCTGTCCCATGCGTGGACGCACTGCTGCGGTTGGAGCCTCCACCAAATCCACTAAACATCGTGGAAGGTCTTGAGAGATCGAGCTTGATAAATGGACGTGATGGAGCGGGGCTGTTACTCGTACTTAAAAGAAGACAACTATCACTCCTGTACTGTTTTCAGGTGCACCACATAAACGCAATCATGGACAAGTTGCGTCGACTCTATGATAGCGCGGCCGATGTCGCGCAGCTCAAGCTTAAGGTACGTGCAATTTACTTTACCTTTCGGATCGCAGATTGATTATTTAAATGTGGTCTACTTTAGACCGGTGAGAATGAGTTTCATCGTGCTGCGAACGACGTCAGTGTGCGAGCACAACAGGTGGCAGCTGAGGCGGCGGATGCAGCGAAGCGTCGCCTGCAGCTGAAGGCGGAGGAAGCCAAAGAGGCCACTAAAAAAAAGACGGAAGATGTACAGAAGGCAGCCATGCGCAAGGCAGAGGAAACACGCGCTGCAGCTGCTACCAAGGCCCGTGGTATCGGTAACAAGATGCTGCACAGCTTGCGCAACAATCAGGAATACGCCACGCGCCAGTTGAATGAGAACGCCAAGATACTGCAGCGCTCGACCAGTGATACTGTCGACGATTTGAAAAAACGCGCGTGGAAGAGTGTAGTCGAGGTCACTGGCGCTGCTCAGGAGCGTGTTTCGTTCTCTGTGTCCAAGAGCGCCGAAAGGCTGAAACACACGTCGTCTTCGGCGGTGGAGGCAATTGATCTACGTGGGAACGCCCGTAGAGTGCGTAATAAACTACTGACGCTGGGTTTTGTCGGCATATTTCTCTATGGTTTTGGGTCGGCCATGCCTTTTGCCATGGCAAAGTACGCAGTGGAGAGAGGTAAGCTCGAGGAAGCAGTAGCACAGACAGACGCTACCGCTACATCAGCTGAGAAGAAGTGAAGAAGAATGCCAAAAGTGGAATGAAGCAAATAAGCTAAGATAAGTAAGTATGAACCCAAATCAAGCAAAGTGATCAGCTTTTCGACGCTAGACTTATATAGCAGCAAGTAACGCGGCTTCTTGTTGGGGTCCAACATCATCATCCGCAATTTAATCGCTTCATGGCTTCTACCATAGCTTTCAGCCATCATCTTCGTTCTGTGATGTCCTTCGTCGAAGAGGCTAATCTCGTTCTCCATATTAAAGTTCAGATGATAGTCGCAGCGCATGTGACATCCAGGAAATCGGTGAAGAATCCCATTGGCCTCAGCTTCTCCGAAGAACTACAGGCACGTTGCGCAATGTTGAAAAGAAGTATCACTCTTTTTTCCGTTTGGGATCATGCGGTTGCAACAATCGATGGCTCTGATGCACGGTACAATACCATTGTGCAAGACTTCGTGTTGGTCGACGAGGATTGCGTCATATCAACGAATACTTCGGACAATTTTTTAATTACCTGCAGAAGAGAAAGGGCGGTAACATATGTAAGACTGCTGCACCCGAAACAATACGTGCAGAATCTTGGTCATTGTTGCGATATTGTCAATAAAAGTATATATTTCAGAAATCTAAATAATGACATATATTTTCACATGATACTTACTCGTACCGGTTTCATCGACTTTCTTTATTCTTAGGGCTAGGGTCAATCACTATATAACTAGAAAATTATAATTCCATTTTCGCCACGAGCAAACTGAATTATGAAACCTGCTGTGGGTCTTGTGCTCACAGCAATTGTCCTCAACTGTGTCGGTGCTACCACTTTTTTCGCGGATTTCAATTCTGGAGAATCAGAGGATGGCTCAGCCTGGGAAACTGGCTCAGCTGGCGTTACGCCGACTGTAGACTCTAAGGAATTATTGTGGGACTTTAGCTGGGAGGTGTTGGGCTCAAGTGAGACTTCTAGCAGCGATGACTGCTGCAACGAGATTTGTACGACGGACTACGAACCCGTCTGTGCTTCGGACGGTGTCACGTACGCGAATTATTGTGCATTTAGCAATGCTCAGTGCAAAACCATCGATCTGACTTTGTTGGCACTAGGTGAATGTGCGGGTGGGGCTTTGTCTGATGAAGATGAAACAGACAGTACTGCTTCACTTTGCCCTGACGTATGTCGCGATATATATGACCCCGTTAGCGATGAAAATGGCACGATTTACACAAACGACTGCTTTATGCAAATGGCCCAATGCAATGACACGAAGGAAGACGTGGATATTCAAGTAGAGTACAAGAAGCTGTATATGCGATTATTTAAGGCTCTTTTCCATGGCGATAGCACCGACGATGATTCCTTTAGTGAAGAGAGTCTTAGCTCATCAGCGGTGGCCATAACTTCCACGAAGAGCACGACGGCTGGAATGTTACGGACAACGGAGACATCGTCGGCCAGTGATAGTGATATTGGTAGTCTTTATGAAGACGAATCTAATGACAACATTGGCAGCGGCAGTTCATCGCCCACCACGAAGTGCAAAAATACCTGTCTCGATATTTACTCGCCGGTTTGTGGCTCCGACGGTGTCTCCTACATAAATGTGTGCCAGCTGGAGCTTGCAGCCTGCAAGAACCCGAAACTTAATATTGTCCGAACAAATGAGGATAATTGTGCCGATTCTGAGCCTACCATCGCGCAGGATGAAATAGTGTCTGAAAAAATACCGTTTAACGCCACAAAGACCGCTTTGATGGCTGAAAGTATGTAGTATTCATTAGCGCTGGTAGCGTGATTGTTAATGACGTGTAATAGAGTGTGAGGACTGATAAGCTTATGGTCGGAGCGCCTTAATCGGTAGCCTGTACGGTACCCATCTTTGAAGATGGGTATCTTTTTTTATGATAACTATTATCTTCAAACGACCGAAGACCGACTAAAGTTTCGACAATCGGGTATAAAGCCAGGAACCATCGGCTTAAATGATTTACCTACCTAAACTTCTTCATGCCGGTTCTTGTCAAATGATGGAACTCTACTTTGTTCTAGCAAGTAGCTCAATACAAACATATTCATTCCAAAGCGCTCGACGTTGTCAAAAATATATTGCCGCTTACAGACCCTACAACAGGTAAACGCCAAGCATCTGTTGCGGCTAGCGCATTCATGCTTCCTCTGAGTTCAAGTAGCGTGTAACCCCGTCACAAAGAGAATGCTCAAAAATCCATGATAAGTTCTCAATTTGCAGAGGTGTTGGAATTTTAACAGTGCATCGGCTTTGTCGAGCTTCCTTTGCAACGCAAAGAGAACTAGCAAAAAATATCATATTATGCCATTAGCGTACACTGTATTCTATATTGTGTGTCTTGGGTAGCACTCATAACGCGCTGTCAACATTGCGGTCTGTTATTTACGACAAACCGTAAAATGGGGTTACTTGAAGTTGGTGAAACCACATGATGGAGGGGTACACACCCGAACTTTAAAACGTACTATTTCGAACATTTTCTTTGACGTGATGACTCGTTCGTATAGGTGACGGAGTCAGACTGGTCAATAAGAGTGTTGTTGCTGCACATCATTTATCGCATGCTCTATTCTTGTACTTTATAGCGTTATTAAATTTGCGCTTAGCATCAAGCGTAAAAAAGTATTTGGCGATAGGTATATATTTATTACCATGATGACCATAAATAAATTCTCTTGCGTCATTTATTCATGATCATGAAAGTAATTACAAAAATCGAATTACTTTTACCATCAACCGCGTCTACATCAGTAATTTTTAATCCTCCAGCACCGGACTCGATGACGCGGCGAGCCAAGGAGCGACGCACAATGCGCGTACAAGCCAAGCAGCAACAATTGGACGAGAATCTAATGCGCGAGAAGCGTTTGAGTTCTCGTGCATCCTGGATTCAACTGTTATCAGCCATTGACGGGCCTTACCTAAGCACTAACAGCAGTAGTTTGCACGTATCATCGAGCGATGGCCTCATCAAGTCGCCGATTGTTAACGAGCTACAGTGGAAGAGCTTACAAGTGCCTATTGCTGCCTCTGGTGGTTTTCAATTGCCCATTAAATTGGATGCTCGTAAAGGAGAATTGTTTTTCTCGTTCTCCACGCGAGACTATGACGTAAACTTTGGTGTGCAGATGATCTGCGCCGACGGAAGTTTAATTGAACTGCTGGGCACACGACGCTATGAGAGTCAGAAGAAGCAGGTGCAGGGTCAATTAACTCTCACAGGTCCGGGGATGGTGCTGCTGTTATGGGACAATTTTTTCTCGTGGGTGAATACTAAGCAATTGGCATACCACGTGGAGCTCAAGCAAGAGACGCTACCTGTTTTCGCTGCAGGAAAGACGCAGTTGGCACTTAAGGCGAGACTGGAGCGAGAGAAGAAGCTAATGCAGTATGAGGGAGAATACGACAGACTGGAGACGCAAGTGCAGACGGAAGAACGGAGAGTCGAGCTTTTGCATCACCAAATCGAAGAGCTGCAGACGCAACTAAGAAAACATGAGGAAGCCAAGGAGAATGCTATAAAAAAGAAGGACCAAGTGGACGAACATATTGGCGATCTCTTTTGGGAATTGCGAGGTACGGGTAGAAAGTGTTGTGGCATGGAATTGGTCGAAAGGTTAATTTGGTGGTTAATGTGGTTTATCAGCACTAAGCTGGCGTTGCTTCGACCAAACGGTACTACATCGTATTCTGGATTTCTTGGAAGAGAAAGACATGGCTGCATGGTGCGTTACTACTTGTATATTGGTGTTGAGTGGAAGCACTCACGTTGTGTATATTTGTTGTGGAATTCAAGGTCGTTAACAAGCAAGAAATGTTATGCGCATGCATACGCGTATCAATCCAATAGACGCAAAAGTGCTTGATCGAATGCACAAATTGCTGGGTGAGAGTGTATTCGTGTCCAGGTCTGGGGCTGCATCCAATCGACATAGAGAAGAAGACTGCGCGAGTTCACACCAGTCGTTTGTGTAGATCGTGAGCTGCTCGACGGTTTCCAAGATTGTCTAATTCTGAGTTGGTATGTCGGTTTACGATGAAGGTTTTATTTGCGTGAATATACATAAATTTAGGTTTAGAAATGTACTTGCGGCGTCTACATCGCTTGACGCTTTCTATCATATTTCTAGTTTTCTACCAATCATCTCTCTTTAAATTTGACAATAATATATATTTGGCGCTAAACACCCAAATCAATGGCAGGATCCGACAGCTCCGAAGAAGATGAGCCCATTGTAGCGCCCCAGACATCGCCTATTACCCCCGTATATCATATTGTCAATCTATGCTTTTTTCTCTTTCTTTTAGTAGTAACATGATATCTTAACTTGCACTATAGAAGGCGTGGATGGATGAAGATGCTGATGAAGAGGAAGAAGACGCTGATCTGAGTCAATTGCAGCGTCAGCACTCACCAAAGTTCAAACGCTGTGTAGCTGCCGTGGATAAGGACAAATGGAATGCATATGCATGGATTGCGCTTATGAATGAGGTGCAGATGCTGCCTATTGCCGAGGCACGCGAGTATTACGAGGCATTTTTGACGCAATTTGCCACGTCTGGACGCTGGTGGAAACTCTATGCAGAACACGAACTACGAGAGAAGAACTATGATCGTGTACAGGAGATCATTAAGAAGTCACTCATGCAGTTGCGCTGTCCTAATGTGGATCTTTGGCAGTTTTATTTGGACTTCACTAAGGTCGTCAAGCTGGATGTAGCTGTAAATTCAAAGGACCTGACGGCTATCACCACAGCCAAGAAATTAATGATCGATGCCTTTGAATTGGCAATCGAACGAGTAGGAGGATCGATTCATGCTGCTCCTATTTGGCAAATGTACTTGACTTTTGTACAAGAAGAACAAGACCCACAGGCTTTCCTAAATGTAAGAAAACTCTACCATCGTATGGTCATGGTGCCGCTCAATGGCATGGAAACAATTTGGAGAGACTACGAGAAGTTTGAACGCGCAATCCCGAATAACGAAGCATTGGCCCAGAACTTCTTCAAGGTGTTTAGACCCAAATTTGACGCAGCAAGGGCTGTCTTGAAAGACCGCAAGAAGCTGTATGACCAGGTTAATATCAACGCGTTGGCAGTGCCAGCCACAAGCTCTCGAGCTGATGCGGCGGACATGGCAAATTGGCAGAAGATTCTTGCTCTGGAGATGGGAAATCCGGAAAGGCTGGACGCGTTACGTCTCAAATCGCGCATGCGTTACACACTCGAACTCTTTGTCAGTGTCAAACGACTTTACCCAGAGGCGTGGTATCAGTACGCTTCGTACGAGAAGCAAGCGAACGATCTGGACGGCAGTGCTAGTGTGTTTGAACGCGCAATCGAGGCTATTCCGGACTCGAGCTACCTGCACTTCGCATTTGCCGATCATCATGAACTACGCGGCGATATCCCTGCTGCCAAAGCTATTTATGAAAAGTTGATCAAGGACTATGCGTCGGCACTTGCATATGTCACATATCAGCGCTTTGCTCGTCGTGCATACGGCACAAAGGGGCTAAATGAGGCTCGCGCAGTCTTCAAGAGAGCACGCAAAGATGAGCGGGAAGGAGCCTGCACATACCATGTCTTCGCAGCCTCAGGTAATCTGCGCCTACTACGTCGTACACTGAAGCTTTTTCATCGTATCTAATACGTTTATGGTTTGTGTTGAACAATTGTAGCGCTGCTAGAGTTTTACAGCGATAACTCTGATAACGGAAAAGACATTGCACTCAAGATTTTTGAGCTTGGCTTGAAGAAATGTATCCAAGAGCCTGCCTATGTGTTGTGTTACCTCGATTTCCTCGGCCATTTAAATGATGACAACAGTAAGTGCTGTAAAGTGCAAGGTAATTATAAACTAAGTCTGACAAGGAAATGATTACTCACCTGATTATAGATATGCGGTCCTTGTTTGAGAAGGTGTTGTCAGTTATGCCTTCAGAGGTGTCACGCCCAATCTGGGACCGATACGTTGAGTTTGAGCATACGATGGTGGCAAGCGGCGGCGATCTTGCCACTGTGGCAAAAGTAGAGGCTCGGCGTGCGCTGGCGTTCCCGGACGAACCTTTTGTGGAAATGAAAGGTCTATTGAGTATCGCCCACCGGTACTCATTCCTGGACCTACGGCCACCGTCAAATTGCGATCAGAACTTTCTCGACATGTATCGTGCATCATGCCGTGGTGAGTCGTTTGGAGCTAATTGCGATAACGTGGGTGAAAATAGAGAAGGAGTGGGAGGTGCAGGGCGTGGTGGTGGCTTTGGTCTTGACATGGAAAGGTACGCAACGTGGTGGAACAGTTTGTTGTATCTCATGTTAATAGCTGTCAATGATGTAGGCAAATTCCGGGTCCTCCGCTCCCTGAATTCTTGAAGGAGTTTGCTAACATGCTGCCGCTAAGCCTACCCTGGAACGGTCCGATCGCTGATGTGGAGCATATCTTTCGAGCGATGCTGCTTGTTGATTTCCCTCCTCGATCGTGCATCGAGCAAGTGGCGCAGCAGCAACAACAGCAAATGCAGCAACAGTTAACGCTTCAGCATCAACAACAACTTCAGCAGCAAGCCGCTGAAATCGATAAGAATAGTGGGCTTGGCGACGATGACGGCACCTCAGGAGTGGTTAGCAAGCGGCCAGCGCACGACATCTTTCGTTCACGTCAAAAGCAAAAGCTATCGAAGCTCGGCTAGTCCAGACGCGACGAGTACAAGAACGAATGAGTGGTCGAATAAACATTGCAATATTACGAGCCAAGAGAAGCTTTAGCTCTTGTGTGTCGTTTTTTTTGTTTTTTGAAATCAACGAAGATAGTTGGAAAGCCGAGGTCTCCGTTATCTTGGAGTTCCACCGCAGGCTTCTTGCGTCCGCTCAACAGCGGCGTTCGGTTCGTCGTCTCATAGGATCTTACTACGAACCCATCGTCTTCGTCTTCGGATAGCGATTCCTCGTCAACATCTTGGCTGTCTGCTAAATCCTCATCATCGTCAAAATCGGTCTCATCGTCCTCTGTGTCAATTAAGACGCAAGGCCGCCAATCTTTAAGCAACGTAGACGTGAGCTCTGTCGCCTGGAGAGTTCGGCATGCAGAGACGAGTTTATCAGCGCTTAGCATCACATCACGATGTTCGTAGTCGCCCCAAATATTGATTGTTGATTCCCATTCAACTCTTGCCGCTTCCAAAACAATATTGTTTACGTCACTGCATCATCACATGTGGTTTATCGTCAGCATATACAATTTGTACAGGCATCGATCAATCCTACAGCAACGTACCTTCGATCCTGTAAGAAGTCCTGAAGCTCTTGAATGCCGTGAGAGAAGAGCGGAAGTAGCTTTGCCTCGGTTTTTGAAATCCATCGACGCGTATTGTACTTCTTCCCATACGTCTTGACCAGCAGCTCATTGGACCACCCTCCTCTTCGACGACTGCCTCCATTGCGCTGCATTTTCAGCATTACACGCTCCTGAAAGATAGATGTCACCCTCTCCATGGTCATTGACATGACCTGCGCAGCGCCGAATAGAACACCCAGATGCCCTAACGCACCAGTGTCGTCGCGCACACTTTGCTCGATGCGCCAGGCTATACATTTTGTCAGAATAGACTTGACGCTACGTGTGGCAAAGGACCCTCCCCGCAGCACGAGCAAGTTTGTCTTAACCGGCAAGTTGAATCCGCACGCTTCAGCTTGCGCAAATACACGCAGGGTGCTTTCAAATACATGCATCGCTCTGCAGTGATCCAAAAAAGGATTTAAATTGGCAAGAGCTTGCGCTGGTTTCTTTGGCGTAACCCGGTACAAGGAAGCGATGGCGCAAAGGAGAATTGCTTCGATAAAATACGGCAAGGACTCGTTTGTCAAGCTTTTTAGCACAATGTGCTCTCCGTCTACCACCACAGTCAGCTCATCTTGTCGGCGTCTTTCTTCGATTTTATCCTCGCCAGACTCGTCTTCGCTTTCATCCATTCTGTTTCGTCCATCATTGCGGGATGCCGTTGCATCAACAAGAACACGCATTTGCTCAAGATAATCGGCCAAGAGGAATGATCCCGCTGATGCCGAAGTGGAGTATGCCCACGATCCAACAACCAGGTACGCAATATGGCGCCACTTCATTGAAGTGCATCGGTATTTCGCCAATGAGCACATATGGCCTTTAGTAGGAGACACAACAGCGTTAGGCAGAGACCTCAGCGGCAGGCCTCTACAGAACTTTCCACCACTAGCTTCGAAGTGACTTGAGGTTGACGCTGCCGGAAATGTTTGGTGCAGCATAGCTAGACAAAGTTGGCTGATTAAAGGACTTTTCCTCGTGTTCAGCACAAGCAAGGTAAGAGCATCAGTAACCAGAGAAGCTAGCGTAGGGTCCTGTCATTCGTATAATGTCGTCACAAATTAGTTCCAGCGCAAATAAGTCACTACTAGCATGAGTGCACTTACTGTCAACTTAAGACACTGTCGCGCTAGGAAGCGAAAAAATACCTCGCTGTATCCGCTAGGATTATTAACGCGAGACAAATCATCGTCAGGACTTGCGCCAGCAGCAAGCAGCTCCATCATTTTGTTGCTCCAACTAGAATCTCCCGTCGCAGTCGCAACACGACACTCCTCCAGTATGGCGATGAATGAATCGTAAATATACGCCAGACTGTGCGCCATTAATTTTCTCGTCACGGCCGAAACTTCTGTCGATTCAGCCTCAAAACTGCCATTTGCAGCCCGGTCGAATTCTTCGATGCTGACCATGCGGCTAAGCTCTACCGCACGGTAGCATACCCATTTTACTGTCTGGCGTCCTTCACTCCTAGATACAAGCATTTTTTTGTATCGACCGCTTCCACTAGTGCCATCTAAGTCTGAAAAAGGCATAGCATCACTCTGTAAATGTCGATTGAAAACTTGCAGTAAGTCCAATTCATTAGGCAACGACAGGGTTGGTTCCATAAAGTGTTTTTGCTCGCCTTCAAAAGCCAAGCAGATAACACGAAAGTCCAAGCCGAACAACGAGGCTCGAGGGGCCTCTCCTTGTACCCGACGAAGCTGACCGTTGAGAAGTTGTTCGGCAATAGAAGCCTCCACCAGGAACCATTCTAGTTCATGCTTTTGCGCTTCAGCACGCCGGGAGCTTAATGCGTCGTTGAAGCCGTCTAGGCGGGTCAAAATACTTTTCTTTTGACTAGCCAGTATCCGCGCAAGTAAATTCCGCTGTTTCAAGCAGATGTGCAACCTAGCTGCCATTCGTGAATACTGCTTCAAACAATCGCGTTTTGGTCCCGGAATTGCTAGCATTGACGAGTATTGCTCTGCTGCAAAATTAGTTGATGCGACTGCAACTTCTAGTGCGCAAACTAGGTTCCAAATAAGAATGTTCTGTGCCGAGGGCTCAACTGATTCGCACTCCTCCGCACTAAATGCCCGTTTGATAGCAGAAGGAAGCACGAACGCAGCATCGACAACTTCCGATTGTTCAATTGAAGGTGTAAAATCCAAATAGCAATGGAACAGCTCTTGGAGGAGGCAAATTTTCATGAGGTATTCCCGCTCTGTAAGTTTCATGTGCGCTTTACGCTCACTGTGATCCATGTCACCGAATGCAGACGGCGGCACTCCAAACCGCATTTTAAGCACAAATTCTGTGGCATCCACAGCTAAAGAGGTTGCTAATCCGTCACTAATAATTGCGGTGATGTTTTTTGCATCATCAAATGCAAGCATGATACTGTTGTCTTCCTTTATTCGCTGAAGCACGTGATTGCGCGAAGTCCAACACAGACCTTTTTTTCGAAAAACTTGAGATATACTTGAGGTTAGCAGAGCCCGCTCTTGTTCCAGAGCAGATACCTCACGTGATCGATTCATTTCGTCTCGCACAAAACGCATCACGTGCAGCAGCGTCTCATCACGATTTGCAAAAGTCAGAAGACGCAGCATCCAATTTGATAAAGATTTTCGGTCGCGAGATTCCACGACTACCTGATTCTTAAGGAGATGTCCAGTGAGAAAGACAGCCATGAGCTGTTTTACCTCAACAGCACTGGCGCGAATTTGGAGTGATCGGCCACTTTCACACCTAAATGATTGCTGGTCGTGGGACAAACCAGAGGCTCCTACCCGCGTCACAAGCTGCTTTTGAATGGTAATCATCAGTAGTGAATATACACCCCGCTCCTTCTTCGTCAACAACGCCATGGTTGAACAAAGCAGATCGAGAATTTGCGATGGGTACTTTTCATCAATTACGGACTCTGTCGAAGCAGAAGCAATTCCGTGAAGGTGATCAAGGAACAAATGAGATGATGATGCTAGTGCACCAGCATTCCTCCGTGCAAGCTCTGAAAATCGTAATGCGATCACTTCCGCTACATTCCAGCATAGAGCACTTCGAGTTCGTTTCGCTGAATCAGTGTTGGCAAGCAGTAACAGTCTCTTTGGTTGGCTCGCAATTGTCAGTAAGAGAATCAAGGCCTGTTCATGTGCGATGTACGAAGCTCGATCAATGTTAAGCACACAAAGGGCGTTAAAATAACAACCATCTTACCTCCTCTTGTACATTACTTCTGGTCTCGATGAGAATGATCATAGTATTAACAGAAGTAGCAATCAATTTCGAGGCCAGCGTAATCTGGGTTGAAGCACGAAAACAAACCGCAAGAAGACAGCTACAGAATCGGATAAAGGACGGGAGCAGGTATGCCCACTCTGATCTTATAAGCATTGAAGCAGCTTCACGCATCATTCGATCGTGTAGCCTCCCACTTTGAGCAACAACTGTTGTTGTCCTTACAGCCAGCTACATATAAACATAACAATAGAAGAATATTATCAAGCATACGTAAGTAAGTACACATGAACCTCCTTAACGTCGCCTCCTCGCTTTATCAAAACACTTACTTCATTTTCTGCAGATTTGCTCATCACGAGAGTCAGCAACACGATGTCAAACGTGGTCAATGAGTCCACATGTGTGATCAAGCGGAGAAGCGCTGTCAGTGCCACCGACCCCACAGTCGCATAGCGCCCAATTACCTCCATTGTGAGTGATAATGTGCCAGATTGAATACGATTACATTCAATTCGAAGTCGACCAAGGGCCTTTGGGGCCGACGATTTGGTCACCATAGACAATAAGCTTTGCACCACCGCAGGTATATCTTCCTCCTCTGCAGCATCCAGCAGCGACTGCGTAATTTCTACTACAGTGTTCTTCTCACTAATGTCCAGTGGTATCTCAGCCAGAGACCCCATCACCGGCACCAGCAATGATCGGTCCGTTATAATTAGGTCCAGATAAGCTTGAACCACTAATTGTACGCATTCTTTAGACTGGTACGTCAACTTGGAGCATCAATGACATACAATAGGTCAATAATAACGTCAAGACAAACAAAAAATGACGTCTTGTCCGTATCACCTTTGGCAAATGATAGATCAGTAGCACACGATGATTGCAAAAAAGGAGCAACGGTAAAATCTCTTCCGTCAGCTCACGCGTGGGCGTCACATAGTTTCCAAGTACTCGCAGGAGCGCGTTCACGTCATCACTCGAGTCGTCGGTGCCGCCGCTGCGTAGTCGCTCCAGTACCAGCTGCGCCGTCTGTACACGCTTTACATTGCTTTCAGTGCGAAGCAGCCGTCTACACATGTCCAGTGCCTGCGCTATATCTCCATCGACTATCAGATCGCGGTGCTGCTCCATTGATGTAGCCATTATAAAGTTTCACGAATTTTACATTTGATTTCTAACTTGAATTTCACGTGAATTTTTACAAAAAGCACTGAATTAACCAGTGTCTAAAAATGGACAAAGAAACTTTAAACGTTTGGCCAGGAACACAACAGAAAAAAGCACAGGCACCATGTTAGCCGAAGATTACTATTTGTTTGCGAATGCTATAAAATTGAAAGCAAAATCTAAAAAAAATTATTTTGCGGCTGTCAAGAAGGTCTACATAAAGAGACTGAATATTTAAGCGAGAGTCACGGCATCATTATTTAGTTTTTTCATGTAGTCCTTGGAAGAAAAGCAATAGTTACTATCTAAGATAACGTACATTCCATGTGTAACGGGCTAAAAGCTACACGGTTCGTAAAGTATCGAATACTTAACGAGCAGGTCTAAAAGGGTACGTGGTGGGTCTTTCGATTCAAGTCTCGCGACTGACTTTGGATTTACGAGATGTGAGGACGAAGAATCATCAGGGGTATGACCGACTGAAGAGGCGTTTGAACATACGTGAGCGACTGGCGATGAGAGATCCGCGTCAAACGCATGGTCCTCCTAGATCACAGAGTCCTCTATCGCCTCACTCGTAAACGAGAAGTCTTTTTTGGATTCCCCGTCGCCCGATCGACAACGACTCTCGATTCACAGTCGACGTCACCATCGGTCTCGTTAGACCGATGTGGATATGTGATCTCTTCTGGATGAACATATCGTTTCAGACGACCCACGTAAAACACTGGGTGCGTCTTCATATACGGTGGGAGAGTGAGCCTACACCTTAGGTATCCAACCTCTTCGACCACCGTAAATGGCCCAATGAATCGGGGCGATAGCTTAGTAGTACCACCAGGTAGTACAGAAATTGCATTTTTAGGTAGGGTAGCAGTACTTGATAGCAATTTGTCCCCCACACTGAAGTGTTCATTGTTTTTGCGACCATGTTGGTCCGCATATTGTTTTTGCTGGTCCTGTACGCTTGCCATTGCGTCACGGACTTTACGTGTGATGGTTAATCGCTCATCCACGAAGCGCTGATCTTCGCTCACTCTTTTCGATCCTACCCGCCTATGACACCCCCAAGAGGTCGGTCATGGGTCGACGCTGCTGACAACACTATAGTGTTATCGTCTAGAAGCACATACATTTCTTGTCGTGCCTACCTATAGGTGTCATGACTACTGCTAGATTAGCAATGTCAACAGGGCAACTTTCGCCCATTTTGGCATTTGCACCCGAGCGAAGTGAGGGGCCCTTCCCTGATGAGACTCGGGATGCGCACAAACGAGACTGGCGTCCGAGGATGGCGCAGTCCGTTTGTAATGGGCTACATTACACACATAGTATTAACACAAATAAACAATTACATGTGTAGGCAGGTGCTGGGCCCGAATAGCGGGCACAGCGTGGTAATTTATCATTGGTTTATTATTGGGCCTAAAGTCCCCAATATGGACCAATGATAAATCAACCTGAAATTGTGTGGTTCCCGAAAGGCGGGAACACTGTCGTATTTATTACGACTAAAATCTTCGTAATCAGTACGAATTAAAACCAAAATAAAAATCAGAGTTAAATTTACTTAATACCTAATACTTGGGCTTGAGTCTTCCTCGAGCGCGCGTGTAAGCTAGTGACGGTACGTTCTAGCCCCGTTACACCTGGTAGCACTTTGTATTTCTTCCTATGCCCGAGTTTGGGATGAGCGAATCGTCGTACTTTGACGCTCCAGATTTATTTCTGGAGCACTCGACCTTCCCCCATCTTACTGGTGTTGAGTGGGATGCCCTTAATCGCCTCGCGGCAATATCGGGAGAGGCATTCGTCGCGTCGTTGATGAGACCAGCGACCCCTGACGCGCAACGTCTCACCATACATGAGTTTATGGCACGCGAGCCAACCGGCGAGGCTTAACTCCCTCGCGCCCTTCACGTAATGAGGCCGTGAAGATGGAAACCTCCTCCTACTCTGGAGAAGGTAAGGACCGGTTGTCGCTGAATCGGTGGTTCCGAGAAGTTGATATCGCCATCGCCTCGAGACTTCTTGAGGCTCCCCAGGCGAAGGTCAACTTTCTTCTTTCCCGCCTCACCGGGAAGGCCAAGGAGTGGGCCCTTGGTAAGCTCGTTGTGGACGAGCAGGCGCTCCCCACCCTGTATACCATCCAGGACGATCTTCGTCTTGCTTTCGAGCCACCACAAGAGGAGAAACTGGTGCGATCAAGATTCCTGTCGATGCGACAGGGTAAAATGGCGATGCGCGACTACGTACAGATGGCTAGGCATCTGGCGTCGTGTATTATCACGCACCCCATGGACATGTACACGCAGGTAAATGTCTTTGTGAATGGTATGCGTGAGGGGCAGACCCGCTTATCGCTGGAGCGCGCCGAGCCTGCCACATTGGAGGAGGCATTCGCCATCGCACTCCGTGAAGACTTTAGGGTCACAAAGGCATATGCCAAACCCTCGGTCGTCAGCGTTCCCCGTCCATCTGGTCCAGAACCTGTGGAGATCGACGTTATTGAGTCGTCGGGTGACCGGCGACGTGTCATTTCCCATAAGGGTGACGCTCGCACCGGGCGTCAAATGGTTAGCTTTCGTTGTCGCAAGCCAGGACATCGCGCGGCAGAGTGCCGTGCGCCAGCCCCATTATCGGTGCAAGTAGTGGACGCCCATCATGAGGGTGCTGTACCGGCCGCACGTCCAAAAAACGGTCGGGACCAGTAGGTGCAGGGCGCCCTACTGGTTGGAAAGGAGGTCCGGGTCCCCCGGTGGCAGCCCAACCTTCCAATCCTCCTGCGTTACGCGCACGGTTAAATGCCACCACTACGAGTGGTGATTCACGTCTGATTATTGTCAGTTTACATGTCGCCGGCGTCCGGCGACCTCTGCGAGCACTCCTGGACTCAGGAGCAACAAAAAATTTCTTTCGTGAATCTTGTTTGTCGATGCTGCCTCCCAGCATTCAGGTCCGTGAGGGACCTGGCCAAGTCTTCGTCAAGCTGGCTGACGGGAAACCACACCGCGTATCGCGGCGCGAAGTGCCGTTGCCGTACACGTTTGATGGCTTTCGCAGTAATGATGATTTCTTGGTGATCGCGATGAATTATGCATTCGATTGCATACTGGGCATGCCATGGTTGGCACGTTATAAGCCCCAGATCGACTAATTAGCTAGATCATTGAGACGTCGACGCAAGTTCGACGTCACTGTAGTATGTACTCATCTCTTGGTGTCTCCAAGTGACTGGCCGAATGCCAACGTCGTGGATCGTGATTCCACGACGTTGGCGGTGCACAAAGCGAGCGATGACCTCTCTGCACTGCTTGTGCTGTTCTTAGAGGCACAAGTGACAGTGAATTCTTGCCAGAAAGCGAAGAGGACGACGGGGACGACGCGGTCGAACAGGGGTTCCCGCGCGTCATTAATGCGGTTGAACAGGGGTTCCCGCAAGTGAATGCAGTGGTTGAACCGGGGTTCCCATCTGCACCTATTGTGGTCGAGCAGGGGATCCCACAAGGGCATTGTGACGACGAGCAAGAGCTCGACAGAGATTGTGACGTGGACGGACAGGAGTCCCCACGCGAGAGCATGATGGTCGAACCGGGGTTCCCATCATCACCCACTGTGGTCGAACCGAGGTTCCCACATGGGCATACTGTGGTTGAGCAGGGGCTCCCACACGGGTTTACGGCGGCCGAGCAGGAGCTTCCGCATCAAGTGTCGACGGTCGAGTTTGGGGTACTCCCGTCCAGTGTTTCCGGCATCTTGGATGAAGACATTCAGTGCCTAGAGGGGGGTGATGGTTTATCACCTGACTGCGGTTCGCCAGCTTCGAGTAGCGACTCGAAGCACGATGGGGACAACAGCATCTAGAATTTAGCGTTGGGTTTTGTCCACGATATCGTGTACGTGGAAGGGAATCCTCAAAGGCGCCAATATATCGAGGTCGAGAGTCCTCCTCGTCATGCGTCTTCCATAACAAGCCTTTCTGGGATTTTCTGGAAGCATTTTCTACGTGACCTTAAGGGAGGCACTGTGTGTAACGGGCTAAGGATCCGTTACCGTCTTACACTAAAAGGGCGTTGAGGAAGCGCTCTTAATTAACTCGTAAATATAACTCTGTTTTATCTTTTGCTTTGTTTTAATTCACAGTAAGTGCGAATATGTTCCCTAGCTCATGGGAACCACTCAATATGGAAGTCAATTTATTATTGGCTAGTTATTAGGTCTGGCACCCCAATAATAAATCAATAAGAAAATGACGCGCAGTATCCGCTAATCGGATACTGCCCTATGCCTACTTATGTAATTATGTATTAATCCTATAACTATTTATGTAATAGGTAGACCCCTACATCATCCCCCTCTTTAAGTTGCGCTTACCTCAACGTAAGCGCGAATCGCAGAAAGTTTCTTCTTGACCAACGGCGTAACTCCGAACCTGCTCAGTTAAGCCTAACTGAGCAGCATGGACACTAGGCGCCCACGAAACAATGTCTCTGAAAGCCAGAACTGGGAACACCAAGCGACAATCCGTAGAGAGCAGGCGCCGCAGGTCATGGATGGGGACTTGAAACCGTGGCGCTTGTATGGTCTTGAAGGTGCTGTCGATCCCGAGTCACTGGAGGTCATGAAGGACCTTTTCACGCGATACCGTACAGTGAGAGGCAAGGCGACGAACAACGCATATACCGACGATGCGTTGCAGAGGTCTTGGTGTGCCTTCATCAGGCGCTGGAGCGCGAGCCGACGTGAAGGGACGTCCTTCACGTCCTGGTTAGACGGTCGCGAGGGAACGCGTGAAGGAACGTCCTTCACGTCCTGGTTAGACGGTCGCGAGGGAACGCGTGATGGACACGCTATTGGCGACCTGCGCCGGCGCATCTGTCGTATGACTTGTGACGAGTATCACCTTTGTTACGTCCACATTCGGGAGGGATGTCCAACGTGCAACGTGGGCAGGTCGCGACCGGTCCGGCAGGAAT